TTTCCCTAGGCCCTCTATGGAGACCAGAATTGGCAGGTCACATTGCTTTGTTCATGTTCAGCTTTATGGTCTGCTGTGGTACTCAGGAGCAGAGGTGGTCAAAGATATTTTTTAAAAATGCCATGTTCTTTTTTTAAAAATACTAGTGCTGTTATTGTGAAATTGTAAGTTGAGTTTCAAAAATATGTGGGATATAATACTTTATATCTTACTGTTACTTGCAGCATTTATCAATACAAGTTGCAATAATAGGTACCTCCACTGAAATGCTGTGAGATGTTTCATTTATGAATTTGGTTTTGCGCTGTGGAAAAACAGCTTTGGGCTTTTTATGGGAAATTTTATGAATCTTTCATTTTGTTTCAGAATAAAGATAAATTTGTTTCAGTCTGCTGTTCAGAAACTTCCCTATAACATTCATTATTTAGAAGCCTTTAGCCTATTTCTACCTTCATGTTAGTAAGCAGTAGTCCCAAGTATAGGGACATGACATCTTATAAATTTATTGATTGCAGAGCTATAAAGTGTCATATCTGCTGTCTAAAGGGTAAAAAGGAACTGTTGATCACAGCAATGAAGTTGTAGGTATACAAAAATATTGTGACTGTAATGATGTAAAGTCTAAGCTGATGCTCCTGGAACTTAAGATCAAATTAGGAAATGTGTGAAAAATGTTTTTGTTTAAAAATCGCATCTTAAAATTACACTAAATTTTCTAATTATGAAGAATGTCAAATGATTGTCACAATTTTGCATTCAGTATCATGTGACTTATCCTTGCATGGCTGGCCTCCCAGGATGTTTCCACAAAGTAAAATACTAAGTGGATGGTCTCAAGATAAGGCCTTTTTAAAGCTATTCCCATTTCAGGCTGCTGCAAGGGCCTGGCTCTTTCCATGCTTAGCATGAACACTGTGAGCTTGTGGATATCTGGCACAGCTATTACACCAGTCAGAACTATCTCAGCAGCATAATCTTCAGAGCTGTTTGAAGACAAAGAATGGCATTAATGTCATGTACTCAAGTTCAGCAAATTCTGAAAATAGAAAAGGGCAATTTGGTAAATTAAATTATTCATAAAGTGGTTATTGATAGTGGCATTGAT